GCGAAAGAGCACGTTTTAAGAAAAATAATCTATCTCAACTGGCATTGTTAAAATGTAATAGAAGTTTACTTTAGTAACTTTTTCTGTTTCAACAAGATTGATATATTAAATGGCACAGAAAAAAAAAAGAAATGAACCACAATCATCAAAAAAGAATCTAAAAGATTACCGGACTCGAAATGGGCTCGGACTCGGTCCTTAACGTCAGGGACTCGGACTCGGACTCGGAATAAATTTTTGAGGACTCGGACTCGGCTCGGACTCGGTCCCTCCCGGACTCGCCCATACTTGTTTCCTGGACCTTCGGTAACTTCATCATCTTTTGTACACCTGTCCATTGGAAGTGTAGAAAATTGCTTGAGTCAATGACACGATCTTTTACTTGCACTATCTTCTGTAATATTAAAGCAAGGTTAGTGGGAGCTGGCTTTTAGAGACTTTCGAGGATGTTGAATCCAATGGCAGTATCAGTTTCTTGGACAGTCGTACTTCATAATGGGATTCCAGAAAGTTGATTTTTGAGCGCCGGGGTTTGCCTAAACTGGAAAATGCCTATAGCTCCCAAACTATGGAAAGTAAACATCTGGGACTTGTGTGCTTTTAAAGAGGATACTCTAGTATCAATCTGTCAGAATTCAAAAGACATTATTTTAGAAACGTATAGAATACAAAATCCGTAATAGTTTTCTAGACTACCTCTGGAATACCCTAAAGTTAGGCAGCATCTATTGATGACCTTATGCGTTTGTAAACCATTCTTTTTTGATAGGAATGTAGAAACAACCAAGGTTTTCTCATAAAACGCTAGGTCTTTATGAAATGTTTTCCAGAAACCCTGGCTTTTCCATAAAAAACCGTTTCCAGAAGCCGCCTTATACAACACAAAATTCGCTTAAAGCGCGAATAACTACTTGGATTGTAGAGCTGCGATTTGCGGCACTATTAATTGTACTTTTGACCTATATAATTGAAATCAAGGTTGGGAAAAGCGGATTGAGCACGGTTGGTCGTGGCTTATCTGCAATGGCCCTTAGCAAAGTTAAGAGAAATTCGAAGACTTCAACATTTGATAATATCTCTGCCGTACATATAATACAATAATCAATGATTATCAAACATAAACATTCCGTATAAGTTTTTGCAATGTTAATCAAGTAAAATCAACTAGATATCGTATTTTGCGCGATGCTAGGTAGTTACCTTAATCACATTTGCACGCCAGTACCCATTAATCAATTAAAGGTATCAAATCAGTCTTTGAATGAGTTTTTGTAAGTATTTTGATATTTGTCTCATAAACATCTAACTCTAGTTTCAATATCATTATTCTTAATTTTAATCGAATTTCATGTCTGATTTTTTTATTCAAGTCATAAGAATACAGCCCATGATATATAGAGAAATTGCTCATAATTAACGAAAATATTTAATAATACTGTGTAAATTCATTACGACAATATATATAAAATTACATCAAAATATTTCATAGGGCCTGCTGATTCTGAGCTATTGAGATGCAATTTTCACATATATTGTAGGTAATGACATGACGAATACTTTCTATCTGAAGAGTATGTCAGAAATCTACTTCTGAAGCACCTGAGGTTTGTTTCAGGCAACTCTATGTATTTGAATGGACCGGCCGAAATTACCCTAAGAAAAATAGCTAACAGGCCGGAATTACCTCCCAATTACTACCAATCGAGAAAAATGAAAAAATCAGAAAACTAACCACGTCTTATTGTATTTTAGTTAATTTCATTAAAATAGGTGCTAATAATTTCAAATTTGTATGACAGGTAGAAGAGAAGAAGAGCTTCAAACTAGGGTAATTTCTACTTGATTAGGGCTTATCGTTAATTAGCAGAGGTCTGTTTCAGAAAACTCCTTGTATTTGAATGGACCCGCCGGAATTACGCCATGCAAAATAGCTTATCGGCGAGGTGTAAAAGATGGAAACGTTGTCTATAAACAAAACGTAATACGAATTATTATTATTATTACAAAAAAGTAATACGAATATGGTCTGATTCATTTACAAGCCAATAAACTAACTATAATCTGAACGATTCATCAACTATTCCGGGAATCGACTCTTTCCCAAACAGGACCTCGACTCTTCCGCGAGTTCTTGCAAATAGATGTTAAGAAAACTAAGCGTTAGAAAACTAACAAACAACAGGTATTGCTGAACGTACTCGTCAAAAACACTTTAAAATAGCTTCAGTTCGAAATATTGACATACTAGGTAAGTATCTCAAAAGCTAAAGCAAATTTACACTGTCATGCAAATATCGTTTATGTGAAACTATTTTTCGAACTAACTCTCACACTGCCAGAAATACCTAAATTGGTAGTAAGAAAATTCGCGGAAGAGTCGGTTTGCGGTAATATATTATGTATAGTCATGAATTCATTACATTCATATTTGATACAAAACATTTCATGTTCAGTGTTGTCAAACAGGTATTTATAGAATGTTAGACATTCATCCATTCATGTTTGACACATATTATGTCAAACATGTTTTCAAATACTGTTTGTTGGGTAAAATTATTGCGTAGGAGAGTGGAATTGAAGCCTGAGAAAAAAATTAAAGTCGCATTGATATAGAAGTTAAGAGAAAGTGTAAAACATATTCCATGCGTCGTTAAAAGTCAAGACGCTAAGTGTCAAAATCTACAGGATCGCCATTAAACTCTTTTTTCTGTAGAAGAAAGTGTCGAAAAGTCAGAAGACACACAAAGTTTCAAAGCATTTGTGCAATTAGCCTTAAACCAGTCTTGGGAGCACTTGATTTATCGTAGCCCTCCATTGAAGCTAAATAATATCGACACGGGTATATTACAAAACTCTAGAAAAAAGTAATGTGATTGAAAGTAGTAGAGACAGTGATGATGAACAACAATCGCCTTCAAAAGTATAAAACTACAACCGGCAGCGCCGACTATCGTTTCACCAAGGTTCCGTAATCAATATTTACAGACGACGACTAATGATAGTTTTGAAGGACCATCACTTTTTGGTACGACAAAAAGAACATTAATGTATGAGTAGATTCGTTGTATATTCGACACAGATAGAGCTTTGAAGTAAAGGGAAAATGATCGTAGATAGAAGCTGTTAGCATTCTTTCTCGTGGATTGGTAGACGAAAGGAGGTTTCGATAGCTTAGAAGAGCCCATAGTATGCAGTTTCTGATAGGCACGTCGAAATTTTATTTTTTAATCAAATATAAACACTGTTTTGATAGGTTATCGAGTAGGCGTTTTCCAAATGGCATTGAAAAGTCAGTACAAAATAAGTTTTTTTGAAAGGTATTCCAGACGTCTGGCTTCTGAAAAACTTTAGGAAATTCTTTATTGATTTCCGAAAGATGCATCCAAATGATACATCCAATAGACTGACCGTACTAAGTCGAGAACCTATAAACAGAAATGGATTCAGATGTCTTAGATTAGCAGTTGGAAAGCACTTTTAAAAAAAGGAACTCTAATTGTCTTCGAATGCCATCAAATCGTTCGATTAATTTTTTTTTATCTGGATATTTTCAGCCCTACAAAATAGGCTTTTCGTTTGTTTTTATGCATGTGGTTTGTGTCAGATCATTGTTACAGAACGCCGCCTATCTAACTGTTGAGACAAGGTGAGACGATCGATTGAAGAATTCACAAAAAATGGGTTCTGATACTAATTTCGTGACGATATACTGTTTGTCAGCGAAAAACGAGGAACACCAGCTAACTACGACAAAAACATAGCTCTGTATCGTTACCACAGTTGCAACCTTCTTAAACACGTTTCTCTCTTTTCCAACTCTGTATTCGAACACACATACTAGATAAGAAAAAAAAAGATGGAGGGGCAGTTAAGCATGAATAAAACAACAAAACAAAACGAGAATAAAAGGCTTTGTAAGGTAATTTAAAACAAATAAGAAAATAGCATGCGTAGGTAGATAGAAAAAGAGACAAGGTAATAGCTAACTTTAATTATAAATGTTTGTGTAGTAGCAGAAAAAAAGTACATATAAAAAAATACGCAGCTCATAGATTTATCTGCAGACCACATTTATTTCTACACAATTAACCTTATCAACCAGTAACAACAGTAGCAGTCAAAAAAGAATGGATCGAAAACCATCAATAGACGCAGCAAAAGCAGCAAAAGCAGCAGTCACAATTCCTGAAACACCACAATCACCATTTAGTACACAAATTTCAGCTGAACAAATACCAGTCGATGAATCAGTATTATCATCAGTTGTAAAAGTCTTTTGTATATCGACGCCAGTTAACTATCATATGCCATGTACGTTGTTATCTACAGAAGTGAAACACATACGCGCTTAGCATTGGAAAAGTGCTCTTTAATGTCTTAGAGTAATGCGGTACAGTTTTCGCTCGTTTTAAAGAGAACTTCAACAAACGTCTGTTATGAATCTCTCTCTCTCTCTTTCATTCAGGGCAAAAGAAAAGTCAAGTTGATTGTACCGCTTCTGGTTTTATAATAAAAGATCGTTTAATTTTATCGAATGCACATGCCACTACTGATGCAACACAAATTCGTTTACGTAAACATGGTGAATCAACAAAATATTTAGCTAGAATTGTACACATTGGACACGAATGTGATCTGGTTCTGTTAACAGTTGATGATGAAGAATTTTGGACAACAAAAACAATGAAACCATTCGAATTTGGTAAAAAAATTCCAGCATTACAGGAAACATTAATTATTGTTGGATATCCAACTGGTGAGCTCGCTCTGTTTTAGTTTTTAAAAAGAAATGACTACTCTCTCTATTTCTGTCTTTAAAATTTGTTAGGTGGCGATAATCTATCTGTCACAAAAGGTGTTGTTAGTCGGGTTTCAATGAAACAATACACGCATGGATGGGGAACATTTTTAGCTATTCAAACTGATTCAGCAATCAATCCAGGAAATTCAGGTGGACCAGCATTACAGGGTAAGTTAAGAGAGAGCGAGATGTACACCTTTTCTTTGAGAAGAGCTTGAGTTCGGCAGCAGACGCTCAGTGCTATTGTAACGGTGTCGAAAGAAAGAAAGGTACATCGATTGGTTGCTGCACTGTTAAGAACCTGACTTCTTCATGTCTTTCGATAAAAGCTAAAGAACGGAATTCTGTTCCTCCAATCACTGAGAATAAGATTTTTTGCTCTTCAAATCGCTTTTTTACTTGAAAACAAGAAGTTTTTCAGTACTTTGCAGAACAGAAAACGAAGAATTTTTTCAACAAACCAGGTGTACTAAGAAATATTTCGCAAAATGCTCTAATAAACATTGTTGTTTATTCCCATCAACAGAAGAAAGAGCAGTCGCGCAGTGGAGGGCAGGAACAGCAGTCTAGCTCGAGCTTTTTGTTTTGCTTGAGCATAGTTGCTTTTTCTTGCAGCAGATTTACTCTGTTTAGAAAACTACGCTGAATGAGTTCGTAAAACTCTTCGTAGTCTTTTGGAGTGTTGTCTTTGCTTTTATACCCCTGTTTTCCTTTGAAAACAGCTCATCAGCTGTTTTGACGCGAAGGATTGTTAGTAAAAAAAGTCCTTCACCTGTAAAACAAGAAACTGAGAAACATAAGGCTTGTTCTTCAGTTAAAATCTATGATAACATCATTTAATTGGAAGATAACACTTTTGTTCTTTAAAAAATTCAATACTGAAAAACAAAAAATTGATTATGTATAATAAATAAAAATCATATTATTCAACGGATCACTTGAATTGTACTTCGACGAAGAACGCAGCAAAGTGCGAAAAAGCAACGCCAATTTCACGACACATTCAGTATCAATAATTCGAACGCATCATAGCAGTCGTTCTTCAGCATTTGAGTTTTTTGAAGAGCAAAATTGTCATCTTCTAATCAAATGATGTTATCATAGATTTTTGTTCTTCTGGAAAACAAATGTCCCCTATGTGGATCTCAATTTTCGAAGAACAGAAATCGAGCTCTTCAGTTTCCGAAGACTTCGTTTACTGAAATCTTTAGAAAACACACACGTGAACCCCCATAGGGGACAAATCAAGATCGTTTTCTTTTGTGTTCTGAAGAGATCGCATATTGCGAACAGTGTAGGTCTAATCTAGCCTAGGGATGCATCGCTTTCGATTTGCTTTGAAGTATTGACTCAAAAGGCTCGAATCATCAAAAGTCTTGTTCTCTAAAGGCTTGCTGGATAAACCTTTCGACAATTCAAAATTTTTGATTGTCAATACTTTTGAACTTCAAAGTCCAAAACAAAAGTTTATTTGACGCGATTTAGGTTCTTTTATTTTCTTAAAAGAGAACGTTTTTGGCGTCATTATGAAGCCCTGCACTGAGAAAACAGAGTTGAGAGCCGACTTTTTACTCAAGAAAAAAGTTCGAGAATAGTTCCCTGATATTTATAATCCTTTGAAAAAGTTTTGTTTACTTTTCTTCAAAAAGTTTGTCTTTGTTTTTCACTGATTGCCAGTGTGAAGGCTGAGATCGTCGTCAGAATCTTACTTATTTGTTTTTTAGCCCTCAACCTTAAGCAAATAAATCCTATAAAGAATTACAGAAAGGTCATTGAATTATTCTCAACTCTTTTTTCTCGAATAAAAAAAAGGCAGCTATCAAGTCTGTTTCCTAACTTTTTCACAGTGAAATTCTTCAAAATGATGTTGAAAAAGTTCTCCTTCAAGCCAATAAACGAATCTAAATTGCACAAAATAGACTTTGTTATGGACTTTAAAGTTCAAAAGATTTGACGATCAAAAGGCTTGTGAGATCAGACCTTTTGATTTCAAGGGACTTGATTTCATCAAAAGTATTGAAGTCTAGACCTTGAATTGAAGCCATGTTTAAGAGTAACTGTCTCCAAGAAACAAGAATTGAACCACTGTCGTTTTACTTCTCTCTCTCTCTCTTTCTGTTTTGTCTGACACTTCTCGGAAAAAAATGTCAAAGGGTTGAGCTATATCTATCGGTTGATCAAAATATCTTAGGTGAAAGGAGCTACAGTTGAATAAGAGAACAGATTTTGGGAAACTAGAGATTTTGGGGTTCGGCACTTCTGACGAGGAAGGATTGACTTCTTGGCAGAAGCTTCATTCTCATTTGAAATTACAGACGAATTCTCTCTCGTTTTTTAGGGGAAACTGTTATTGGCATGGCATTTCAAAATTATTCCGGACTTCAATCTGTTGGCTATATCATTCCAATACCTGTTATTGAACATTTTCTCGAAGATATCAAAAGAAATGGACATTACACTGGTTTTCCAATGTAAGAAGCGCGCAGGCAGCAAATTAAGGCTCTGCTCTTTCTCATTTTTTCGCTCACTGTACTGCTACTGCTACCACTAGGATGCTATTTGAATTTCAAAATATGGAACATCAAACTTTGCGTGATTATTTAAAAATGCCAAAAGATCAACACGGTATACATATTACTGATATTGATCCAGCTTCTTCACTAATTGGAGAAGAAGGAGGAGGTCTTAACAGTGCAGCAACCAATCGATGTACCTTTCTTTC